GGATTACAGGCTGAGCCACCTAGCCTGGCTGTACCCCACATCTTTAAAATACAAATTTAAAAAAACAAAATGTCCATCTTCTTAGCATTCTCTGAAACTCATGTTAAGTGAACAAAGCCTTCACTTTAAAGAGTGTGTTTGTTTTTCCTAGTAAGAAATCCACTTCAAAGGCAAATAGCCCATAAGTTCATACTGAAGTGTAAATGACTGATAGTTGAGCAGAGGACAGAGAGAACCCTGGGTCCTAGGTCCCGGAAAGGGGTGAGGCACAGACTCCATGGATGCACTCGTGGTCAGGTGTGGGGAAAGGGTTCAAGAGAGCGCCAGGGGCCCTGGACACACAAACACAACAACCTTCCCCAGGGACCCAGTCCAACAATCCCATGTCTTTTTTTTTCTTTTAAAGATGTGGGGTACAATTCACAAACGCTCATTATGCAGGTACCCTTGTTGGTGAGGTGTGCCCCTCCCTCCCAAACCCATGTCTTAACACAGCACTTCCACAAACACCAAAGAATGGGCTTCACCAGCCGGGCTCGGTAGCTCAGCCTGTCATCCCGCGCCTTGGGAGACTGAGGTGAGTGAATTGCCTGAGCCCGAGGGTTCGAGCCCGCCTGGGCAACTTGGCAAGACCTCATCTCTACAATAAATCAAAAAAATTAGCCGGGCGTGGTTGTGCACGCCTGTAATTCCAGTTACCGGAAGGCTGAGGCGGAAGGATCGCCGGATCCCAGCAGGTCGAGGCTGCGGTGACCGGGAGCGGCCGCTACACTCCAGTCTGGGCAATAGAGTGAGACTCCAACTCAAAAGCAAAACAAAACAAACAAACAAACAAAAAGAATGGGCTTCACCAAAGTTTTGGATTCGCATCTAAATCACTTGTAATTATCATAATATTGCCCCTGCCATTCCCTTTCTTAAGGGAAAACTGCGGGGGGTTGGGGGCTTAGGAGAGGTGGGATTGGCAGTTGAGGGAAACAGCTAGGGGAGGGAGGGGTACACCTCATCAACAAGGGGACCTGCATGATCAGCATTTGTATACCTAACCCTGAATTGCACCCCGCATCTTTAAAATAAAAAAAAGCCGGGCTCAGTGGCTCAGCCTGTAATCCTGCACCTCAGGAGGCTGAGGTGAGTGGATTGCCTGAGCCCATGGGTTCGAGACCCGCCTAGGCAACTTGGTGAGACCTCATCTCTACAATAAAAAAAAAAAAAAAATTAGCCAGGCGTGGTAGCACACACCTGTAGTTCCAGCTACTTGGAAGGCTGAGCTGAAGGAACGCCGGAGCCCAGCAGGTGGAGGCTGTGGTGGCCGGGAGCGGCCACTGCACTCCAGTCTGGGCAGCAGAGTGAGACTCCAACTCAAAAGAATAAAAAATAAAATAAAATAAAAATCTCAAAACTATTAAAAAAATAAATCACTTGTTGTTATAGTCAGAAGTACATTGATAAACTTTGTCAACATACCAGTGCATCAAAATAACTCAACTAGACCAATACTAAGGCATTCTTGTTGAGTATTAAGGGCTTTTTAAGCTAAAGATCTAACGTGGAGGAAGCTGCATGAAGCAATACACCCAGGGAGGATTAACATGACCATGATCTTAGGACAGCTTGAACAACTTGAGGCAAGGGGAGCTACCACATTAGTACGAGAAACTGATTGCCACATCTCCGCAGTGTTCACATTCTAACACTCCTTCAGGGTCCATTCAAATATCACCTCCCTCAGGTAGGCTTCCTATATCACTTCCCCCGACCACTGCTCTCTCTTGCAGATTCCCACAGCATTGTACCTCAACCTCTTCCGACTTATCTTTGATAATCCAGTACCCATCACAGCACCCGGCAATCTACATTCATGACCACCAATCTGCTGCCCAGATATGTTCCATCTCAGGAAACATTTCTCTGGATTGTTTGCAAAACTCCTAAGTGGCATCAGGAGGGAACCAAACTCCTTCCCATAACGCCTCCAACAAAGACACTGTTTACATATTAATACAGGTTCTATCACCCCTGTTGACATATGCATTCATACATGAGCACCCCTGTCCTTGCAGAAAACATGCACATAGATGTAAACTAACATGCACAAAGACTGTGCCTGGTCACCGCCGACAGGCATGTGGAGTCAGAATAAGCAGGCCAGGTAGCATGATTTGAAGTGCATTTCCAAGGGTCTCTGACCAGCGTGGGCTCCTGTGCCCCCACTTGGTCTGGAAATTCTCTCTCAGCAGCGTGCTTCTTGAGAAGATAGGACAGCTCATTTGCCCTGTCGCTTGTCTTTGTCTCATGAAGATGAGACAGAGTGTCCCAGTTATGGGCTCGGGCACTGCCGCACTCCAGGCCAACCAAGGACTCAGGTGAGAGGTGACCACACAGAGCCCGATATGATAGCTCCCAGCTCAGTCTCTCTGAACATACCTCCTGGGGCTGAAACCTGGTTCCTCCACACACCAAACATGTGACTTGCACGAGTCATCTAAACCTCTCAGGATTTTATTTCATCCTTAAGATGGAGATAATATGCTATCTCCCTCCGAAGGCTATGTGAGGATAGCTTGGGGTCATATATGTACAGGATGGATGTTTGGAACATCACAATTTTTCTTTTCTTTTTTTGAGTCCGAGTCTCACTCTGTTGCCCAGCTGGAATGCAGTAGCACAATCCTGGTTCACTGCAGCCTCGACCTCCTAGGCTCAGGCGATCCCTCTGCCTCAACCTCTCGAGTAGCTGGGACTACAGGCGTGCGCCACCATGCCTGGCTAATTTTTTAAATTTTTGGTAGAGAGGAAGTCTTGCTATGTTGCCCAGGCTGGTCTTAAACTTCTGGGGTCAAGCAATCCTTCCACCTTAACCTCTCAAATTGCTGAGATTACAGGCGTAAGCCACTGCACCCAGCTGGGATATCAAATATTTAGCAAATGTTTATTATTATCATCCATCAGTATTATTCTCTTTGTCTTTTCTTTTTTTTTTTTGAGTTGGAGTCTCTGTCGCCCAGACTGGAGTGCAGTGGCCGCTCCCGGCCACCGCAGCCTTGACCTGCTGAGCTCCGGCGATCCTTCCGCCTCAGCCTTCCAAGTAGCTGGAACTACAGGCGCGCGCTACCACGCCCAGTTAATTTTTGATTTATTGAAAATCAATTGAAAAGAGATGAGGTCTCACCAAGTTGCCCAGGCTGGTCTTGAACCCATGGGCTCAGGCAATCCTCTCACCTCGGCCTCCCAAAGTGCTGAGATTACAGGCGTAAGCCACTGCACCCAGCTGGGATATCAAATATTTAGCAAATGTTTATTATTATCATCCATCAGTATTATTCTCTTTGTCTTTTCTTTTTTTTTTTTGAGTTGGAGTCTCTGTCGCCCAGACTGGAGTGCAGTGGCCGCTCCCGGCCACCGCAGCCTTGACCTGCTGAGCTCCGGCGATCCTTCCGCCTCAGCCTTCCAAGTAGCTGGAACTACAGGCGCGCGCTACCACGCCCAGTTAATTTTTGATTTATTGAAAATCAATTGAAAAGAGATGAGGTCTCACCAAGTTGCCCAGGCTGGTCTTGAACCCATGGGCTCAGGCAATCCTCTCACCTCGGCCTCCCAAAGTGCTGAGATTACAGGCGTAAGCCACTGCACCCAGCTGGGATATCAAATATTTAGCAAATGTTTATTATTATCATCCATCAGTATTATTCTCTTTGTCTTTTCTTTTTTTTTTTTGAGTTGGAGTCTCTGTCGCCCAGACTGGAGTGCAGTGGCCGCTCCCGGCCACCGCAGCCTTGACCTGCTGAGCTCCGGCGATCCTTCCGCCTCAGCCTTCCAAGTAGCTGGAACTACAGGCGCGCGCTACCACGCCCAGTTAATTTTTGATTTATTGAAAATCAATTGAAAAGAGATGAGGTCTCACCAAGTTGCCCAGGCTGGTCTTGAACCCATGGGCTCAGGCAATCCTCTCACCTCGGCCTCCCAAAGTGCTGAGATTACAGGCGTAAGCCACTGCACCCAGCTGGGATATCAAATATTTAGCAAATGTTTATTATTATCATCCATCAGTATTATTCTCTTTGTCTTTTCTTTTTTTTTTTTGAGTTGGAGTCTCTGTCGCCCAGACTGGAGTGCAGTGGCCGCTCCCGGCCACCGCAGCCTTGACCTGCTGAGCTCCGGCGATCCTTCCGCCTCAGCCTTCCAAGTAGCTGGAACTACAGGCGCGCGCTACCACGCCCAGTTAATTTTTGATTTATTGAAAATCAATTGAAAAGAGATGAGGTCTCACCAAGTTGCCCAGGTGGGTCTTGAACCCTCAGGTTCAGGCAATCCACTCACCTCGGGGCCTCCCAAAGCACGGGATTACAGGCTGAGCCACCGAGCCCGGCCTGTTTTTTCCTACAAAAAAAATCCAGCTTGCAGACTAGGGATTTTCTAATACATTGATGCCAAGTCCACCTCAGAAGCTGATCTGGGACCCCCCCCAAAGCCTGCTTTGTGATAACACACTCAGGTGTTCAATCTCTCCACGCACAGTGGGAAAGCCTAAATATGGAGTTTCTCCAGGTGAACTTCTTGGTTCCAAGATACCAAGAATGTACCACTAATCTTACTATGTTCCCCCACGTAAAGCCACACAGCCTTGGACACCGTACCTTGCCAGAAAATGTACACTCATAACGTCAGGATTCGTCTCCTGTTTCTCTTCCTTGAGCAGACAATTTTGCTCAGTAAAAGCCCCAAAAGCAACGACTATCACTCGTTTCTGTCGAAAGACTCCCCCGTTGTGGGGCGCTAAATCACATTCTAGGATTGCAAAACTGTCGGGGATAGGTACCCTGTGTTGCCTCACACTCCGGACACAGCAATTGTCTAAGACGCAGTTTTAAAAGGCTCCACAGGAGAGCTGTAGGGGACACGTGGTGCTGTGAACCTCAGAGCACGCTTCAGTGGGGGAAAAGCCCCTAGCCAGGAGGCAGAGAGAAAACCAGGAGGGCAGTTGTGAAGAAGAAGAGATCATGTTCAGTCTGCAGATGCTTCTGTTTCTGCTTCTGCTCCACATGCAGGTTGCCACGGCATTTCCTACACCTTCCGAAGAGAAAAGCACAACAATGGTTCAGGTAAGCCAACTGTCAGTTAGGCAGGTGATTGATTTGTTGATTATTGGGAACTTGTGGGTGTTGTTTTCTCTGGTCTGTGAAAACAGCCTGAGAGAGATGACCCGGAGTGATTTGCTTGAGGTCGAACGTCTTCTTTTAGTGATGCAGAGGGCTCCAGGCTGGCAAAGATGGGGCCCTTTAGAAGCTGGACGTGAAACCAAGCTGAATTCTTCAAAATACAGGATTGCCATAGAGCTGCCTCCAGCTGGGAACCTTCTAGAAGGAATGGTTTTATCTGCACTCATTCTTCCAGCCCCTTGTCCTCCCCATGAATGTAAGCCAGAGTGACCCAGTGGTTGCAGGTCCACAGCTATGGCTCCACTCCAGGCCAACTGGGGACTCAAGCAGGGGTTGACCACACAGAGCCCAAAGCAATGGCTCCCAGCTCCGTCTCTCTGAATATACCTCCTGGGGCTGAATCCTGACCCCCCTACACACAAGCATGTGACTTCTACCTGCAACTTTCCCTTCTGGGACATGGCAACCCAGTTACTATCTGCCTGGTGCTTCCTAGATGGGCATGTTCTTTGCAGCCACAAATTTCTGGTACAGAAGAAAGAGCATGAGGACGGGAGCTTATAATGAACTAGAAATCAGTTCACTGGGAAATCAGATTGTAGACGGTTTACACACTCTTGGAAGCATCACAAAAACAGAACCAATCGTTTTTTTGCCTCCCACTGTTTCACTGTATGAAAGTCAGGCCAAATTTTTAGGAAACGCAAAGATTTCTCATGCACAGTTTGCTTAGCATTGCAGCTTTAGATGGACATCATTTTTTGTTGCTTACTGGGGGACAAGGTATTTCTTGCACTGGTTATCGTAACCCCTGGGTCAATAGCTAGAGTCCATCGAATGCTTACTCTGAGCAAGGCATCATGCATGCTAAAAACATCACAAGTATCATCTTATTTAATCTTCACAAGAGCCCTGTGAGGGGGCATTATTATGTCCATTTTGTTTGGGGAACAAGAGTGAATCTTAAATCAGATAAATAATATGTCCAGTACTCATAATTAGTTCAAGGTCGAGCTAAGATTTGAACCCAAAACCGTCTAATTCCAAAGCTGGTGCTCTGTTCCATGTCACCTACGTGTGTCCCCAGAATTTGTGTTGGAAATTGGAACCTCCGTGTGACAGTGTTGGGATGTGGGGTCATTAAGAAGTGATTAGATCATTAAGAGAGACTGAGGCTGCTCTTGTGGGACTGGACAGACAAGTTCTTCCCTTCTCTGTGCCACCATTTCTTCTTGAGGATGTTCAAATCTTTTCTGCAGTGGTGAAAAGAGGATTAAAAAAAAAAGAGATACTGCACTGATACAACTAACAAACTAAAAATTCAAAAGAAGTCAGTGAGTGCTAGTTCTAATTTTTTGTTTTGTTTTTGAGTTGGACTCTCACTCCATCGTCCAGGCAGGAATGCAGTGGCACAATCACGGCCACTGCAGCCTCGACCTGTTCGGCTCAGGCAATCTTTCCACCTCAGCCTTCCAAGTAGCTGAAACTACAGACACACGCCACCATCACTGGCTAATTAGTTCTGATTTTTTAATAAAAATAAGCAGGCAGTCTCCAGACCGTACAGTAGCATTTTACACGTGTGACTTTGCCCTCAGCCCTCAGGAGACACCTTTTTTTTATGCATAACCACTGATTGGAGCACTGAACGTAGGGAGTATTCTTTCTAAAAGGCGTTTTTCTCCCAAAGTCAACCTGTAAATTTATGTTGTTGTTGCTGTGGCTTTGACCTCCACGGTGACTTAGAAAGGACCGCAATTTGCCCAGGTGATTTCCCAGTGAGCACCCTTCTTTGTGTGTCTTTGTCCAGGACTACCTAGAAAAGTTCTACCAACTACCGAGCAGCCGATATCGGTCTGCGAGAAAGAACAGCACCAGTATGATTGTGGAAAAGCTTAAAGAAATGCAGCGGTTTTTCGGGTTGAACGTGACGGGGAAGCCAGATGCGGAAACTTTGGAGACAATGGAAAAGCCTCGCTGCGGGGTGCCAGACAGGGGTGATTTCATGCTGACCCCAGGAAACCCCAAGTGGAAACACACTAACCTGACCTACAGGTGATGCGTCTGGAGTTTCAGAACTCATCCACTTGGCCTGTATGGACGGGCACTTACGATATGTCAGACAGTGTTCTTGGACTTACACCAGGGACAAACAGATAAACATCCCTACCCTTGAAGAGTGAATGAGTTGGGCATGAATAGTGAATGTGTGAGAATGAAAGAGTAGAGATTCCATGGGTCCTTTCCACTCCAAAACTGTTCAAGTCTTCCCTCTCCAACAATCTAAAGAGGACAATGGAGATATTAGGCTGTCTCTACACACTCCCTTCAGCACCCAAGAAAGGCTTAGTCGTTGCCAGAAAGACTCTAATCCCATTTTTCATACATCTTGATGATGATAATGATAATAATAGCTAATCTTTGTGGACTCTTACTATCTGGCAAGTCATGAACTAAATGCTTTACCTGTATCTAATCTCTGCAACAGCCTTATGGGAAGAGGGATACTGTTTTATTAGCCTCATCTTATGCATAAGGAAACTGAGGTTTAAAGACATGTAGTGACCTGTTCAGCACCCACATCTGTCTTCAACCCTGAGGCTTGCTCCTTCTTCCTTATAATTTCTCCAATGGTAGCAGATCATGTGTGTCCCTCACTCCAAAATAGAACAACGCGGTCGGTTGACAGACTACTGTTCAAAACGATAATGACCTTTCACATACCTTCTCACTTTGAAGGATTATAAACTATACCCCACAGTTGTCAGAGGCTGACGTGGATTCAGCTATTGAGAGAGCCTTTGAACTCTGGAGTCATGCATCACCTCTGAGATTCACCAGGATCTCACAGGGAGAACCAGACATCAAGATCGCTTTTGTCCAAAGAGGTAAACTCAGAGCAGCCGTGCTCAGTTTTGATTTCCGTCGCTAACCTGAGACTCAGCAAAGACCTCACGTAAATCGTTTTATTTCAGATCACGGTGACAATTCTCCCTTTGATGGACCCAATGGAATCCTCGCTCATGCCTTTCAGCCAGGACAAGGTATTGGAGGAGACGCTCATTTTGATGCTGAAGAAACGTGGACCAAAACTTCCGCCAGTGAGTTAACCAAGATCATGTCCACGGGCAGCTTCTAAACTCATCTTTTCTGAATTAGAACACACACAGGCACAAAGTTATAACATGTCAAACTCACACAAACTGATGGTTTGAAATTTTTTCTACTTCAAGATACTAAGTCAACTTAGGCTTGAAAAAAAATCCTGAAGGAAATTACTGACCTCACTTCCTATGTCATGAGTCAGAAAACACAGACCATGGTCAAATCCTAAATCCGAGGCCTGGCCCCTATTTGTATAAATAAAGTTTTATTGGAACAGGGCCACATTCATTTATTTGTGTATCACCCATGGCTACTTTCTCTCTACAGTGGCAAAGCTGAGTCATTGCATCAGAAAATTATTTGGTTCACCAAGCCTAAAATATTTATTATTTGGCCCTTTGCAGGAGCAGTTTGTTGACCATTGCTTTAAGGTATATCTCCCTTTTAATATCCTGGAATTTGGTGATGTTCGAAAAGGATCTATTTTTCCTTTTTTTTTTTTTTTTTTGAAATTTATTTAGAAATTATTCTTTTTTATATTAAAGCAGGATCTCACTCTGTTGCCCAGGCCAGAGTGCAGTGGCATGATCACAGCTCAAAACAGCCTCAACCTCTGGGCTCAGGCGATTCCCCTATCTCAGCCTCCCATGTAGCTGGAACTACAGACACCCAGCACTACACCCAGCTAATGTTTTGATTGTTTGAAGAGATGAGGTCTCGCTATGTTGCCCAGGCTGGTCTCGAACTCCTGTGCTCAAGCAATCCTGTCGCCTCAGCCTCCCAAAATGTTGAAATTACAGGCATGAGCCACCACACCCGACTAGAAATTATCCTGCGTAGATGACAGCAGCCATATCCTCTCTCTTCTAGTCATTTCCTTTGTGAAGCTCTTTTTCAGGAGCACTTGCTCTGTGCCACCAGTTACTCCTTTCGGGAGAAGCTGTGTGGTGACAAGGGCTGGACTGTCTGAAGGGAAGAGAAGAGGCTGAGAACAGGCTTTCAGGCATGTGGTATCTCATGAGGCCGCAGGGTAGCAATATGCCAGAGAACGCTTTTTAGAAAATACTAGGAGCCGGGTTCAGTGACTCAGCCTGTCATCCCACGCCTTTGGGAGGCTGAGGTGAGTGGATTGCCTGAGCCCACGGGTTCGAGACCCGCCTGGGCAGCGAGACCTCATCTCTACAAAATATCAAAAAATCAGCCGGGCGTGGTAGCGCGTGCCTGTAATTCTGGCTACTCGGAAAGCTGAGGCAGAAGGATCGCCGGAGCCCAGCAGGTTGAGTCTGCGGTGGCCGGGAGCGGTCACTGCACTCCAGTCTGGGCAACAGAGTGAGACTCCAACTCAAAAAAAAAAAAGAAAATACTAGGAAAGGCACCTTCTACCTGTGCTTGGTCCTGTTTCTCCTCCATTTTCTCAGCACGTATACTGTGAGTGTCTTTCTACCTGAGTCCCAGCACGAGGAGCTGTGTGTACCGAGATAAGTACCAACTCTCCACTGCTTCATATTCCCGTGTCCTCCCCACCAGCTCAGATGATCGTTACCTCTTACCTGAACGAATGATGCAGATTTCGAACTGGACTCTTCAACTCTGATCTCCTCTCCCTCCAAGTCTTCCTAGCATGGCAGCAAGTTTCTTGAATTAGATCACTCTCCTTAAAAGTTCGAGTGTTTACGTATTCTGCACCAAATAAGGTCCAAATACTTTCACTTGGCTTTGAAGTTTCTTGATGATTTTTCACCCTCATTTTTCTTGGTTTGAACTTGGTTTTTCAGTTCCTTTCCTATAAAAGTATTGCTAATAAGACTTCAGGAAAATGTCGTGAGGTTTAGATGATGCTATGCTACCTGGCACGTGGTAAGCTCTCTACAACTATAAGGATTTTTTTAAGTGGGCATGTAGGAAAATGCAGTGTGTTTGTGAGGTGGCATAGATTGGCTGGGCTGAAGGCCTCAAGTCAGACGTCAAGCCCTGGAATCTCGGCTGGAGCCAGGTGAGGTCGGCAAAGCCCTGGGGGCGTGGTCTTTATGGGATAGCAAGTGGGATCCTTGGAAGTTTGGAAGCTCCCAGTTGTGAAAGGCAAGGTGCTCATGGAAGATACGAGATGGGAAAGAGAGCCATCAGAGGCTGCGTTCGTCTCCGTCCAGTGGCAAATTCCTGGAGATATTTGGAGAAGTCAGAAGCAGGGAAAAGCCGGGACCAGGCTGTGGGTGACGAGAGGCCAGGGCAAGCCTGTCCTCATCGGAGGCAGCCCTGCTGCCTGCAAGGCTTCTTTTCTGATGAATCGCTCACTGAGGATCTGCTAAGGAAGCTGAGGGGCTAGCACACTGGAGAGGGTGGGTGGGAGAGCACGAGAGAAGTTTCTAGAAACCCATGGCTCGCACTGCCATTTCTCCAAGCCTCAGATCCACATCCACAAAACGTGGGAAGATTTTCTTGGCTCTAAGGTTTGATGAGTGGGTCGCGCTCATCCAGTCCCCACCTTGCTCCCAGCATCTGGGAAGGGTTGTTTCCTGGCAGTTTTGCCTGGGGGGCTACATTCCTGGAGACCCTATTTCTACCCACCCTTCCATCCACAGGAAGCCACTCACCACCCACGCTTGCATTTCAGATTACAACTTGTTTCTTGTCGCTGCCCATGAATTCGGCCATTCCTTGGGGCTCTCTCACTCCTCAGACCCTGGCGCCTTGATGTATCCCAACTACGCTTTCAGGGAGCCCAGCACCTACTTGCTCCCTCAAGACGACATCAACGGCATCCAGGCCATCTACGGTAAGGCCAGCCAGGAGTCCTGCAGGGTAGGCGGCCTGGGAAGAGGCCCACAAGCCCGGGATCTGATTACCTGTCCCTCCGCACTTCTCACAAGCTCTGTGCTCTGGCCAAGCTCAAACTGAACTCTGAAAATCCCTAATAATACATCATGGGCCAAAGGAGGCCTGGCAGGAATGAGAGTAGGGGAGGGGTGGGGGACACCGGAGTCTCTATTGCTGCCTTAAAGAGAAGTTTAGGAAGAAATGCACCACAGTGGTTCTCGGTCATGTCTCTGGATGGTGGGGACTTGTTTTTCTTCTTCCTTTTTATACTTTCCAATCTTATACATTCTAAAAAGGCATGGCTGTCCCTTGACCTACAGCAATCCTGCTCCTAGAAGCATTTCTTTTTCTTTTCTTTTTTTTTTTCTTTTTTGAGTTGGAGTCTCACTCTGTTGCCCAGGCTGGAGTGCAGCGGCATGCTCACAGCCATCACAGCCTTGATCTCCTGGGTTCAGGGAATCCTTTCACCTCAGCCTTCCAAGTAGCTGGAATCACAGGCATGCACCACCACGCCCAGCTAATTTTTTTATTTATTGCAGAGGTGAGGTCTCCCTAAGTTGCCCAGGCAGGTGTCGAATCCCTGAGCTCAGACAATCCTCTCGCCTTGGCCTCCCAAAGTGCTGGGATTACAGGCTGAGCCACCATGCCCAGCCAGAAGTATTTCACAAAGAAATGTTTGCATAAGTCCATCAGGGGCCGTGCACAAGCCATGTGAGGGGTGTAGTCTTGTTTGGTGGCAGAGCTGGAGGGCACCTGGGGGTCTGCGTGCAGGTGAGATGCGGTGAGTGTGTGTCACCACATGCAGCAGGGAGTCGCACAGAATGAGATGCACATGTGGCAGTAAGGTCGCTGCAACTTTTAAAACTTTGTGCTGTGCGAAAAAGAAACATAATGGGCCATTGCCTTGCTAGACTCTGGTGTGGCCATGTGCTCTTCAAGCTATGGCTGTCGCCATGCTTCCTCGCTTTAGTCTCCTCCCCCACCATGGGGAGGTGAATCTTCTCTCTCCCTTCTCTTTCTCTCTCTAATTTACTTTTAAATAAACTATATTTTTTATTCTAAAAAAAGAGACATAATGATATATATTATGCAATGTAGAAATTAAATTACCCACGATATGAATCTCCACAGACATATGGAAAAAGCGAGGCACACTGAAATAGCTGTCTGGGAGGGGAAGGGAAATGGTAGTGGAACATGGAGAGAAAAGAGACTTTTTTTTACAGGCACTACTGACGCTCTTCAGGGGTGGGTCTCGGGCCGTCTGCCCTGCGTTAGAAGAGCTACCTGGCTCTTCCCTTAGCCACGAGGTTCCTGGCTAAGACCCTTGCATCTCTGTTCCCTCGTGCCCTCCTGCCTTCTGGTGGGCTGAGAGTAAAACAGGAAACCAGAGGGGATCTCCTGCTCTCTGAAAAAGTGTGGAGTGGGACAGAATGGGAGGAGAGAGAGTGGCGTGGAATGGAGTGGCGTGGCAAGGCATGGCGTGACATGGAGTGGGATGGAATGGAATCCAGTGGAACACAATTGGAGAAAGCACTCTCCCCTCTCTGGTGGGACAGCCCCATAAAATCAAGCATGCCAGGCTACCATGCCAGGGAATGTATTAGTGACAGTCGGATTTCTAGGAAGGATGAGTCCTATTCTCACTGCTTCCTTTGCTCCTCAGTGTTTTAAGTTCTCTTAACTTAACTCTTAACTTAGCATCACCTGTCATTCTGCAACGAGAAAGCACATTAAAATGCAAATATTTATAGAGAAGGTCATGCTAAAATTTGACTTAGATTTATGCTAAAGGACTAATATCAGCTCCTTTCCTGAAAGTGGGTTTTGGTGATTACAGTGTGGCGAAAAACGTAGAAAGAGAAACCAAGACAGGAGAGAATTTAATTAGAATTTTAAAGGGGGGGCATAGAATTCAAATATCTTTACTTCACAACTTAACCTGGAACTGACCCTAGAAACCATCATTACTCTTATTTGAAAAACAAACAAGCAAAAACCTTAAGAGAGCCAAATATGCAGTTACTAGAACACCTTATGGGATAATCTGGTTACATTTGTCTTCACATGAAGATACTGTACCTTTCTGAATCATATCTGAAGTTCACTGACTTACACTCTGCTTAGGCTTATAAAGAGGTTTTTTGTTTTGTTTTGTTTTGTTTTGTTTTCCAGGACCTTCGGACAACCCTATCCAACCTACTGGACCAAGCACACCCAGAACCTGTGACCCAAGATTGACATTTGATGCTATCACCACCCTCCGTGGAGAAATATTTTTCTTTAGAGACAAGTACACGATTGATCTGTTCCTTCCTTTGATTTCTCTTACTGGCATAACTTAAACCTGGATTCTAATTAAGTGACACATTCATTACCTTTTCCTTTGAATTCTACACATATGCATCTCATTAGAATTTTGAGGGGTTTTGGGGGATAATTCAAAACATCTAGGAAAAGAAAAGAAAACTAAAATATTCACAAACATTCAGATGTCTGTGGTGATGTGAATAGACATGGGTGACGGCTGCTTGGAAACCTCGTAGCTGGGTTTGCCTAACACCAAAACATCATTCGAGTCGATCCAAAATCAGTCAAGTAGGCAGAAACCACCACTGAACTAGATACGCAGGAAGTCATCTGACTGGCTGAAATTTTTATTTTCCCATTGGCTATTTTGTGATTGTGCATTGCATGCTGAGTGTACCTGGTGTGACTTTCACTGACGGCTACACAAGCATAGTCTCATTATTTAGTGGGAGCATTCATGAAAGATACTAACAAAAGAAGATTTGAGGCAGGGACTGTGCCAAATGTCATCAAGTAAGATCACTTCTGTGACTGCCTCCAAAAACTGTAAAGTACTCACCAGAGTGGTTACTTCAGCCTGGTTACCCCAGGGATATCTCAAACTATGACTTCCCAAGCAATGACCAAGCAAATGATGCAGCCATTATCTTCAGAAGTAAAACATACTTTGTCAGTGACCAATTCTGGAGGTAAAGTAAACTATTTTTTTCAATATCACTATAAAGACTAGCCATGTGTTGGTGCCTGTGCTAGGAACTTTGCATTTACTGCATTGTTATGCCTTCCCAGCAGTCTTTTTTTTTTTTTTAATTTTTTATTGTAAAGATGTAGGGTACAATTCAGGGTTAGGCATACAAGTGTTCATTATGCAGGTACCCTTGTTGATGAGGCATGCCCCCCTCCCCTGGCAGTTTCCCACTACTGCCAATCCCTTTCCTATAGGATTATGATCATTGTTCAAGGTCCACTGATGCGTGAGAACATGTGGTACTTAGTTTTCTGTTTCTGTGATAGATCACTGAGTAGGACAGACTCTAAATCCATCCAGGTCCCAGCAGTCTTTATAAGGGTCATACAAGCTCAAGAATCACAGGAGCTGCCTACTTAGGGGTGTGTGTGTGTGTGTGTGTGTGTGTGTGTGTGTGTGTGTGTGTGTGTGTGTGTGTTTCCCTTTGTTCCATCAGGTATTTCTGGAGAAGACATCCTCAGCTACGAAGCATCGAATTCAACTTCATCTCTCTCTTCTGGCCAGCCCTGCCAGATAGTATACAAGCTGCGTATGAGGACTTGGATAGGGACCTGGTTTTTCTATTTAAAGGTAACTTCTCAAAGCTTTCTTGATTTGGTTCTGCCTGAAGGGAGGGAACAGGACTTTGTGGTCGCTTTCAGGTCTAGCAGAGTTGAGCCACTAAGAGCATCATGCTGGCCAGGCTTTCGCCGGGACCAGGGTTGGGACCATCCGGGCCACTAACTACTATGTGAATTTGAGCAGGGCCTGTTTTCTCAATGACAAAATGGGAAAACCACAGTAGGCCATCTGAAAAAAATCTTAAAAATCTAGGTAGTCTTTGACAGGTTATAGTGAGAATATATTCTTTTTTACAAGATGATTGATGTTACCATGGCTTTTGAAAATTTCCACCTAGACATAATTTTTAAAGATTCCTCAAGGCTTTAATTTAGTTTCATTGGAGAAGTCACGTGAGCTAGAACATTCAATTGCAGGCCCCTGAATGTCACTAAGAGTTTGAAATTTTTTTGTAAAGGTACTGGTAAGTCATTAGGACTACCATAGCCACCAAGAGCTTAACTTTAATACCTTCACCTTTTAAAGACTATTTGTTCCATTTTCACTTCTATCATGAAGTTATGCAAAGACCAAGAAGTGGTACCTGTTATTTTGCAAAAATGGAAGAGCTTTATTTAATATTTAACCTGAATCACTGACAGGCAACCAGTACTGGGCAATGAATGGCTATGACCTTCAGCCAGGTTACCCCAGGGATATCTCAAACTATGGCTTCCCAAGCAATGTCCAAGCAATTGATGCAGCCGTTTACTTCAGAAGTAAAACATACTTCTTTGTCAATGACCAATTCTGGAGGTAAAGTAAACTGGTTTTTTTTTCAGTTACAAATTGAAATCTGTGTTTCTCTACACTGTCTACATACCACTAACCATCAAGCATCTGAAAAAAATCTTAAAAATCTAGGTAGTCTTTGACAGGTTATAGTGAGAATATATTCTTTTTTACAAGATGATTGATGTTACCATGGCTTTTGAAAATTTCATTTTTATAAAATAAAAAGGCCCACAAAATAATATTGAGGATTCTGTATTATGAAACAGAGCAAACCTTAACAAAGTAGTAGACTGAGATGCAAAGAAAGACTTAGCTAATTCTCATTGAGGAGTTAAATTCTGACACACGCAAGCCTGCGGAATTTGGTGCCCAGGTTGAATTTATTACTTACATTTATACACATAAACACATAGAGAGAGACACTGTGTACCAGTTAAGTAACAGCCTTGGAAATATAAGCTATTCTTTTGGAAATGACACTGTGTCAGCAATCAGAAACCTATTTCAGAATTAATAATACCAGCCGGCCTCGGTGGCTCAGCCTGTAATCCCACGCCTTTGGGAGGCTGAGGTGAGTGGATTGCCTGAGCCTGTGGGTTCGAGACCCACCTGGGCAACTTGGCGAGACCTCATCTCTACAATAAATCAAAAATTAGCCGGGCGTGGTGGCGCATGCCTGTAGTTCTGGCTACTTGGGAGGCTGAGGCAGAAGGATCGCTGGAGCCCAGCAAGTTGAAGCTGCGGTGGCTGGAAGTGGCTACTGCACTCCAGTCTGGGCGATGGAGTGAGACTCCAACTCAAAAAAAAAAAGAATTAATAATACCAATATGTTTTATAAATAAGTACATATCCTTGGGTAGTAGAGAAGTTAACCATTCTTAGTCCTAGCAACTAGGACACTCTGAGGACTGAATGAGAAAATATGTCTGAAGGTACTTAGTAAAGTATATGTGATTTTTAAAAACTGTTATCATTATGTTTTGCACTGTTCTTAAATCATGTGGTTTTTTTTTTTTTTTTTTGGGTCAGATATGATAACGAAAGACAAACTATGGAACCAGGTTATCCCAAAAGTACACTAAGTATCTTTCCAGGAATAGAAAGCAAAGTTGATGCAGTTTTCCAACAGAATTGTAAGTAGAAAAAAAGCCTAATAAATGTGCCTAATGTTTTTAAACAGCATCTTTGCATTTGAATGCTAAAAGGGGACAGGGTTTTTTAATTGAAGGCATCTGAGCTCTTTTATAAGCTAAATCTAAAAATGTTTTCTCTGTTGTTGTTGTTTTTTATAGACTTCTTCTTTTTCTTCAGTGGACCGAGATTTTATGCATTTGATCTTCAGGCTCACAGAGTTACTAGGGTTGACAGAAGCAACAGATGGCTGAACTGTAGATAAAGTTGAAGCAAAAAACAAATATGGTTGCACCCGTTTTCCAAATGTGGAAGGGAAGTCCAACCTGCAAATGCACTGTGTGTCCTGTCTATGCTTTTCTCAATACTAAGTCATGTTCATTTCCATTACTGTTTTCATTGAGACTTTCCTCAGTGGAAATATGTTCAGAATATTCCACTCTTCTCAGAGACTTATTCTGTTCTTATGGATTCCATCTTAGGTTAGTAAATCCATCACCACAAAAAGGAAAAAAGGCTTTTTTGTCTCCTTAGTATTCACTATACCATTACTTATCTGACTTCTACAGTTCATTGTTTTATTACTTGCTTGCCTGATTTTATATATTTCTACATTATCTCTTTAAATAGGTCTTTTGTGTATCCTCTACACGCAATCTAGCACTGGGCTTTGGTTAGAAGTAAGAATTATAAACAACATAGACAGTACCCCCTTGCCTTATAGAAAATGTTATTCTGTTTTCTACTCTTGGAAAGAAATGTTGGGTGACATATTTTGTGGGTTGAATTGTGCCACTCAAAAGATATACCTTAGTCCTAACCCCAGGTATCTAAGAATATGAACTTGTTTGGAACCAGGGTCTTGGCTGGTGTGCTTAGTTAAGACAAGGTCATACTGAATTGAGGTGGGGTCTAAATTTATTGCAACCGGTGTCCTTATAAGAAGGGAAGAGGCATAGCCATATGGGAGAGAAGGCCATGTGAAGGCAGAGGCAGAGATTGGAGTGATGCATCTCCTAGCCAAGGACTGTGAGCAACCGCCAGAAGCTGGAAAGAGGCAAGGAGGGTATTCCCAAAAGCCTTCAGAGAGGAGAGCATGCCCTGCTGACACCTGTTTGGATTTCAGCCTCTTGAACTGTGAGAGAATAAATTACCGTTGTCGCAAGCCACCAAGGTAGAGGTACTTTGTTACAGCAGCCCTAGCCACAATGTGTTCAACACAGTGAGATGTCCTGGGATGCACTTAAGAAAGCAAGTCAACACCAATGCCAACGCCAAACCCCTGCTGAAGATGACAGGCATCTTCCCAGGGAAGCAGCAGAATGAAGAACTTCCTTCCTCTTCCTCTCCTGCCCCTCCCTACTCTCCCCTTCTGGAGACTAAGCAAGCGGGCTAGTTGGACCTGTCGTTCCTATGTCCTTTATCTCCTGGGGGGTTCAGGAAGGCCCGCTCTACGGGTAACTGGGGTTTCCTGAACAAAGACGTTTTACTAAACTTATGAACAATGGGTTTCATTAAATTGCCTTAACCTGAGCTTAAGTGCATACATTTTCTAACACATCCTTTCTTTTAAAAGCTTTAGGACTCACAGAACCATAAGGTCCAGCTAGCCCAGGCATCAAAATCATTGTAATGTCGTATTTGCAGTTATTAGGATGTAATGCCGCTTATTACACAATAAACATGTAGATTATAAAGCACATTTCTCACTAGCACATCCTATTTCCTTTCTCTGTTAAAGTTTTAAAATCCCACAGGTAATTAATGTGGCACCTTGTTCTGGTTCAAAAAGTATCTATTAAAGAAGTTCAAACTAAAGGTTTTTATTGTAAATAACTGATTTGTGATCTACTTCTAATTTCTAAAAATATCACCACATACTTCACCTAAAGTGTAAAAACAAATGACATATTTTAATTATATTTGCAGCCATTTGCTCCCTTGTCAGAATTATCATAATAGTAATAATAAATTTTTAGATACTGCTTCACAGTTTATGAAATATTTTTGTAAGTATTTAATGTCCTGAAAAAACTTCCTCAATTATGTCAGCACATTATTCTCGATTTATTTTACAAGACGAGAGAGCAGAAACTGGTATTACTATATTCCATTCATTCATTTATTCAGCAATAATTAATTGCTTGAAGTTCCAGGTGCTATGCCAGGAAAAGTAAACGAGATGTATATGCAATTCACCGCATTGATGTAACAAGTGTGAAGGGAACCTGTCAGAACTGGACATTCTCGGCTGGGCGTGGTGGCTCATGCCTGTAATCCCAGCACTTTGGGAGGTAGAGGCAAGAGGATTGCCTAAGCACATGGGTTTGAGACCAGCCTGAACAACATAGCAAGACCTCGTCTCTACAATAAATCAAAAATTAACCGGGTGTGGTGGCACATGCCTGAAGATTCCAGCTACCTGGAAGGCTGAGGGGGAAAGATTGCCTGAGCCCAGCAGGTCAAGGCTGCAATGGCCGTAAACAGTGTATCACTGCACTCCAGCCTGGGTGACCGAGTGAGACTCCAACTCAAAGAAAAAAAAAACTGGACATTCTATTTTTCAGTACAGTCAGTTTCAGACTCTCCTGCTTTCTAAAACTTCCTATGATGTCAGTTTTTACAGGCATGGAAACAAGAGATGCCTCTTCTCAGAACACCTGCTAGCTGTGCTAGCTAGTTATAATAAACTCTTGGCTCAAACCTTAGTGACACAGTTTTTAGATGAGAATGGATCTCACATTTCCAGCCCCGTTTCACAGAGTCATAGAAAGTAAACTTCAGTATGCAGTATAATCAAGAATTAAAGAGTTCTTCCTTTTCTAGAAATTTTCTTCTTGACAACATGTGGTATTTTCTGACTGTTACATGGATGTTGTAGGTGCTTGCAAGAGATGTAAAGATCTAAGCTTAGAATGTAAATGATGAGATTCTTTTTTATCTTAGGTTGAGTTTCTTCAAAAGCAAAGACTAGGTAAAGTCCTTGATACAATTACTTTCTTTGAGACATGATACCAGGAAGCAAGAGTGAAGTAGCAAGCAGAATGAGACAGACAAGGAGGGAAAGCCAATACAAGAATGTGTTATCAAGGTTTCTACAATGGTCAACCGAGTCTCAATGCCACGGGGGCTCCAGAGAAGCCTAGAGGGGCTTCCAACTGTTCACATCTCCCGTGGACAGGAGCCTGGTGAGGCAGGGACCCTTCTAGCACAACAAGATATGGGCCTTCCCAGAACAGAGAAAAAGCCCTCCTAGCACAAAGAGAGAAGGGCCTTCCCAGAATAGAAAAAACTTACGTTAGAGAGAAAGTAAAATAAGCAAATCAGTTAATAAAATCAAATGGCTAACAAAATAATAATATTAACCAACTTACTCAATTTTGTCTAAAACTTTCATCTTAGTTACCTGCCTGACCTAAAAATCAATGGCTACGTGTGATGACAGTAACGTTCCCATGACCACAGACCCCCAGCTTTGTCTCCTTTGGGCAGGTTATGCTGACCGTTGCCTGCTGACCGTTCCAGAACTCCTTCGTCATAAGTTGCATGTGATCGCATGCTTTGTTAACTGAAATCAAGTGTTACGCTTTGGCATTTTCATAGTCTGTTCTTATATTCTGTTAGTGACCTAACCAAGGTAACTCCATTGTATAAGGATTCCTCTTCCTTGTCCTATGTAGCTACCTTAAGCTATATCTTAATGGCAGAACTCCAGGGGCTTTCTGGGCACTGGCTAGACCTAGGACATGAAATTAATCAAAGCTCCCTGACAATCGAGGTTCCCATTTTGGTTGCCAAGCTGTTAGTTAATAGTTGCTATGGTCACTAAGTTGCTATGTAGCCAATGCTGCAAATTTTACCTAGAAAGCTTGTCACAAACTGCACCAATTTGTCAAGAGTTTTCATTCCTACTCTTGACCCACACATTAATAAATTCACAATTAATTAAACTCAACTTGCTGGCGTAGCTTCTTCTCCCTTACTCGGTCATAACAAAAGGACTGTGGCCCAAGTTGTAGTGCACATGTGTAACCCTGCTGCAACCTTAAGCTGTGAAACACCCAATCACAATGTATGTTACCAATATGTAGCTTTATGGGGGGACAGAGGAGCTAAAAATGTATATAAGGCGCTTGGGGCTCAGCCTTTTCGTGTGAATCCACTGAGCCGGTGCTGGCACGAACGAATGATGCTTCCTGGCAAAGAAGCCTCGGTGTCCCGTCTCTCTCTGTAAAGAATCCTGCCACCCTAGAACGATCATCCCACAGTTCCCATCCCCTGTTGGGTGAGGATTGTCCTAAGGGTGTTAACTTTCTTAGGCTTCTGAGCTGTCCTCTCGTTGCCCTAAGAGAGTGGTGTAACCAGGTAGACGCTGCCTACCTTCCTGTTTCTGTCCAATGCCCCGGGCAGAAAGCAGAAAGATGCACAGCCCATGCTTAAAGTAGTACTTGGTCAGAGCGAGATGAGTCACACAAATCTGGCAGAGGTGTCCCAAGGGGAGGTGACACGGGGCGCCAGAGCTTTGTTGATGGGAGATTTAAATGATGGGAGCCGGGCTTGGTGGCTCAGCCTGTAATCCCGTGCCTTGGGAGGCTGAGGTGAGTGAATTGCCTGAGCCTGTGGGTTCGAGACCCACCTGGGCAACTTGGTGAGACCTCATCTCTACAATAAATCAAAAAATGAGCCGGGCATGGTAGCGTGCGCCCGTGGTTCCAGCTACTCAGCAGGCTGAGGCGGGAGGATCGCCGGAGCCTGGCAGGTCGAGGCTGCGGTGGCCGGGAGCGGCCACTGCACTCCAGCCTGGGCAACAGAGTGAGACTCCAACTCAAAATAAATAAATAAATAAATGATGGGAAATCAGAGGAGTCTTCCCTGGAGAAACTTACACCCCCCAGGGGGAGGGAATTTACAGCTACTGACCACGGAAAAATCTCAGGGTGGAAAAGACTACTAACTCCCATTCTCCACTTTCTCTTCTGCAGTGAGACCCCAATTTCATTTGAGGTCGCAATGCCTCCAGTTAAAAAACAACATTTTGTATCCTTGTTCACAGCTCGCTATGGCCGTGTACTTATTTTGAGCCAAAATGTGTAAGCAGAGTGCTGTGTGGGGCTTCTAGAAAGAGACTAGGGCTTTTTTTTTTTCTTTGACTCGCTCCTTCCTTCCACCTGTAATGCAGATACAATGGCTAGAGCCTGAGAAGCGACCTGGACCATGAGGCATTGCCATAGGAGGGCGATGTAGAAAGGAAGAGGCAGTCGACATCCCGGTTGATGTGGACTTGTGCTAGCTCTGTGCTTCCAAAGCTGGGCACTTTTTTGATGTGAGGGGAAACATACGTTTTGTATTTTACTAAGCATACGTTGTTTGGGGTTTTTCTGATATATTCAACCAAATCTCATCCCAACTAATATATTCCGTAAAGTGTCTGGAACCCGCCCCACCTCCCGGCAGGAATGGTCATCAGTTCACCAGGCACACTCTTCCAACCAGCTTTCCTGTCTCTTGTTCTTAAGCAGATTGCACCAACGTCACCAGACATTGGAAAAAAGACCCCAGCCAGGCTCGGTGGCTTAGCCTGTAATCCCGCACCTTTGGGAGGCTGAGGTGAGTGGATTGCCTGAGCCCGCGGGTTCGAGACCTGCCTGGGCGGCGAGACCTCATCTCTACCATAAACCAAAAAATCAGCCGGGCGTGGTAGCGCGCGCCTGTAGTTCTGGCTCCTCGCAAGGCTGAAGCGGAAGGATCGCCGGAGCCCAGCGGGTCGAGGCGGCGGTGGCCGGGAGTGGCCACTGCACTCCAGTCCGGGCGACAGAGTGAGACTCCAACTCAAAAAGAAAAAAGAAAAAAGACCCCAGTGTGAAAAACAGATCAAAAGAGAAAATTTGAGGAAAGAGAGCCAATTTTAGGAGCAAAATAAAATATCAAAAATGAAAGAATACTTAACATTAACATTCCCTAAAAACAAGAAGACATATTTTACACCCCCAAAACACTAGCACAATGCAAAAAAGTTTAAAAAAGAAAAAAGTAAAAGGATAGTCAGAGAACTGGAAAGAGCTCTCGGAAATTAAAAATATGATAGCTGAAATTGAAAACTCTGTAGTTGAGCTAGAAACTAAAGTTGGTGGTAAACAGGATATATTAGAAACATAAAGACTCAATCGAGGAAGTCCAACTGAAATATGAGGGGGAGCCCAGAAAACAGAATTTATTTGTAAATAATTGTGTATTTATTCCTAAAAGTTTAAACTTCAGTCACCTTCAAAGTTCTCTCCATTTGATGCAATGCACCTATTGAGACACTTTTTCCACTATTCAAAACAAATGTGGAGGTAAGTATGAGGAGAAAGCTATAAATTCTAACAGAGAATTTGGGAAAGAAGGAGCAAAAATCAATTCAACTACCAACTTTAAAGAAAAAAAAACATTGTGCAAGAGATGTAATCACAGTATACTACCTGGCTCTCTCACAAATAATATTTTCATGGTCATAATTGCATGAATACTGATTACTGACTTAGCTTAAAACTTTGCTAGACTAAATTAGAAAAAATAGAGGAGGAGGTGAAGTGAGGGGTGAAAGCTTGTCGTCCACAAGAAGGTGCTGCTAAAATTTTAAATTGTGAAAACTCAAGAAACAGTAGCATAGCATGCTATTTACAGGTGTGGAGTTAAGTATGAGAGAAAAAGCTATAAAAATCCCTTAGAGACATTACCTCTTGGGAGCAGGACTCGAAGAAGTGGAAGTTTGAGTAGAGAGATGCTGTTTTTCATTATAAGCAAGATAGCACCATTTGACTTTCTTCTGGTAACTGGTATTTTTAAAATCTGTTCTGAGATCATTTCGAGTTAAGAAAAGACGAAAGAATAATATAAAAAACAGTTATTCTTTTTTCTTTTAAAGATGTGAGGTTCCACTCAGGATAAGTGGTCATCATGCAGGTAAAGTCTGGGCCTCCCTTTGGCCACCACTTTGCCTGGTTTGAGGTCAAGTACCCTTACTGATGTTATGTCCTCCCCGCCACCCCAGCAGTTTCTGGCTACTGCCAATCCCTTTGTTATAGTATTATGTTAAATGTTCAGGGTCCACTTATGAATGAGAACGTGTGGTACTCAGTTCTTTGTTTCTGTGATAGATCACTGAGTATTATACACTCTAAATCCATCCAAGTTGCTGCTATTCACAATAGCAGAAACATGGAACCAACTGTGCTAACCATCGAAACTGGACTGGATTAAAAAAAAGTGGTACCTATACTTGATGGAATACTATGCAGCCATACAGAAAGTCATACACAATTATGGACTTCGCAGAAGCATTCATTCTTAAATCGAAGCTTCCATAATGGAAGGGCTACTTATTGATTGCCCAGCTTACCAATACCATTATGATGCAAACCTCTTCATGTCTGCCCTCTCCCCTCCACTGTTTTCTCCTCAGAGGCCTATTAAACTTTTAAAATTGTATGCAAATGTTAAACCAGTAAATAATATTTCTGAAACAGGATTTGTAATCAGGATGAGCTTTAATTGCAAAGGAATTAGGATTTGTAAGTTCTTCGGTTATGTCATAGAAATTTTGTTCAGGATACAGACAAGGAGGAAAATTTGGAAAGGTCTCTGAGCTGAGAAGTTAACACTTAGTAAGAGAGGGAAGAAAACTGTAAAAGCCAGTAGATGAAAACAGGAGAACAAGCGAGAGAGGACACTGCTTTATCTAAAAGGAGCCCAAGCAAAGAAGAAACGGATATATTAAAATTACTCAGTTCATAATAGCAGCACTTTGGGAGGCTGAGATGAGAGGATTGCCTGAACCCGGGGGTTTGAGATCAGCCTGGGCAACTTGGTGAGACCTTGTCTCTACAATAAGTCACAAAAAACCAATCAACCAGGCATGGTGGTACGCGTCTGTAATTTCAGCTTCTTGGAAGGTTGAAGCAGAAGGATCGCCAGAGCCCAGCAGGTTGAGGCTGCGGTGGTCATGAGCATGCCACTGCACTCCAGCCTGGGCAACAAGGGTGAGACTCGAACTCAAAAAAAGAAAAATAGTCGAAAGGGCTCTCCTTAGCTTACCACTGCACTCCAGCCCGGGCGACAAGTGTGAGACTCCAACTCCAAATACAAAAATAGTCCTGAGGGCTCTCCCTAGCTACACCTTCACTTCTAGCCTAACTTTGACCTTCAACATCTGTGCTCTGAGTCTTCTACCCCGCCAGCCATCCTCGCCGAGAGCCCCCCTCCTGCTCCCATGGCTGTCGATACACACACTTGCTCTGATCAGGCCAGATTCCGTACCACTCCTTTGTGCTGTGTTCCTCGCTTCCTGCGGGCTCTCTCCCCTCATCTGCCTCCACCTTTCCTCTGTGACAGCCAAATCCTAGCCCTTCTTTACAACCCAGTGCAAGCTGTGCTACCTGCATGAAGTCTCTGGGCCACACGCATCGGCAATGAACTGCCTGCCCTCTGTGCCTTCTCAATCTTTATCCCCTACACTGTGCATTTGGCCGCCGGCCTCCATTTTGTCTCTGTGTGGGTATGAATTCTCCAACACGACTGCATTCATGAAGACAAGCAAATAGTAGGTGCTTGACAAACATTTGAAACGTATGCTCACTAACGAGGATAATCTGATTCCTGATTCAATTGTCTTTTCACGATAACATGCTACCAAAATATTTCAGGAGTGAAGGACGATGGTACCAGTGAGACTCAGTACCCTTTGAGGCCAAGAGATTTATTAGAGCAGCGACTACAGGGAGAGGGAAGGAGGTCTGTAACCTCCTGGTGGGAAAAGGGAGTGAGAGAGAGAGGGCGAGAGAGAGGTCTGTATTTATCAGTTTTGGGAGGGGGCGGCCTGTGCTCTCTGAGCCTGGCCGTGTCAGCCAGAGCCATCTTAGGGTCTTTATTGGAGGGAGCTATGAGGTAGTATTCCTATAGGGAGATAATGTTTGTACATGAGTTTAAGTTTCGCGCGCGTGCGGGAGAGGCAGGAATTTACGGCCTTTGTTGTCTTTGTTAGGTTCCCTAGTGTTGGCGCCATCTCGGGAGACATCCTTCTGGCTGTTCCCCGTGCCTTTCAAGGAGTGCCTTCAAAAGAAAATCATTTCATAAGCACTCAGGAATTTATGGCTAGAAACACCTACAACTCTGCAAGGAGAAAAGTAACTTGGAGGCTCACTTTATAACATATTCAATTCGGTGATATGCGTAACTGTGTTTACTAAACATTTGCAGACAATGATTGCAAAACCAAGTCAGTCTTTAAAAAAAAAAGAAAGAAAATCGTGACACACTTTATGGCAAGTGTTCTTTTCTGTTATTAATTATAAGATGACACAAGTCGATTCATGCCACGTCTCCTATTACTGTGTAAATTCTGGGCAAACAGACCCAAGGCTTCAGCTGAAGAGAGAGAGGAATGAAGAGCCTTCTGCTTGGGCTTTTGCTCTTCACGACCCTTTCTGCTGCATTTCCTGCAGACCGAGTGATGGAAAATGAAGAGAACATGCAGCTGGCTCAGGTACTGTCTCAATCAATGTTATTAGTGACTATCGAAAAGTTTATTTGCCTGATTCTTTAAGGACCTAAACGACGGCAGATTTCTGTAGAAGAGTCCTGAACTTTCTTGTGAGAGGGAGTTGCTGTCCATTTGTCTATCACTAAGGGCACTAAGAAACTGAGGAGTCGAGGGCTGGGACAGGGTGGGAAAAAAGACAGGACCTGAGACAACTTTGAGCAATTGTCCCAAGTGAAGGAATATTCAGTGAGAGGAAGAAGGGGGTGGAGATCTCTATGCAATCATCAAGACAACCAGGAAGACCCAGCCTACAACTGGGAGCCCCTAATCCATCCATATTTTTTTTTTAATGCATTGCTTTGGAGATCGCCTCTAAAAATCAGTTAACTTTTCCTATTTGGCTAAGCCAAATAAATCTGCAAAATGGATAATCACCTATCTCTTCTAGAATTGTTTCAAGGAAACACCAAAATGTAAATAACAGCAAAAATACGCGAGCTATGTCATGATGTAGCAGGTAGAAGCAGCTTCGTTCTCCTTTGGGGAGGATTGGAGTTTTATGGGCTGCATGGTTTGGCGATCCTGGATACCCTTAAGTTAACCAATTCTTAGAAATTGAAAGAGCGGGGTAACTCAGTGTTTTCCTTCCTCTTGGCATCCTTCCTTCCTTCGTTTTTTCCTCTTTTCTTTCCCTCGTTACTTACTTCCCTCTTTTTCTTCCCTACTGCCAGAAAGTGTTTCAGGCATTCTGTTTTATCCCAAGAGAGAGATTGCTTTCCTGTAGTCTGTGCCTTTTGTTTTTGTCTTTTCGTTCAGGCATATCTCAACCAGTTCTACTCTCTCGAAATAGAAGGGAGCCATCTTGTTCAAAGCAAGAACAGGAGTCTCATCGACGGTAAGATGCGGGAGATGCAAGCCTTTTTTGGATTGACAGTGACTGGAGAACTGGACCCGAAGACTCTTGAGACCATGAAGACACCCAGGTGTGGGGTGCCTGACGTGAGTCAGTATGGCTACACCCTCCCTGGGTGGAGAAAATACAACCTCACGTACAGGTAACGCTTCCACGAACTTATTTCTGTCTAATCCAAAGGAACGCGAGAATGATCTCCAAGGAACAATAACAATATTCAGTTCCTTTCTGAGCACTATGAGATTTCATATACTCTCATCCTCCCAACAAACCTGTGCCCTGGGCACTGCTGTTACCATGACCTTAAACCCAGAGAAGCTGAAACAAAAGGGCATTTCCCATAGCCCAGGTTCCCCAACTCCTGCCAGGGTACTGGCTCCAGCAGACGCGATCTCACCTGTAGTCACTGCCACCTCCAAAGACGCTCAGGATGAGAAGCGCTACCATCAGACCGCAGATGCTTGGCAGCATAAAGGAAGTATGTGCATGCAGAGACCTCAGAGCACAACTAGTTCACGACAGAGATGTGTGTGTTAGCATTGCCAAATCTCAGATGGGGCTTCCCTCAGACATCTCAAGGGAAAGGGAGACAGCTCGCTGGCAAAAAAGATGAAGTGTGCCCTTGACCTGAGACAGAGGCAGTCACTTGACCCGCCCCTAGCACCTTTGTGATAGCTCTTTCTTCATCTTATTGCGTCTTAGGACTTGAGATAAAAACGGGTCTAGCAAGATAGAGAATATAAATAAAAGTCTTTTCCTGAGTAACTCTTTGTGGCCCTTGTGTGAGACTCTTAATATATGACCCTTGCACAAGACTGATTTCCACAAGCCGTTCAAGAAAATAAATCTCAATTCTTTTTTAGAAATGTATTTATAATACATTCATGCACAAGCAAGCACATTCATGAGATTAATGCTTTCTGATTTAGGATGTGATTTAAAGGAAGTTATTTAACCTCTTTGAGCCTCCTTTGTTAAAGTGGCACAATACTCCCTGATTCGTTGGGAAGAGGAAAGAAATTATACAGCATGTTTAAAAGTACTTCATTTAAATAAAGTGCCATGCAAATATAAGGTGATAGCACCATGCCAAAAGTTACTGCAGCATATGGTAAGCTAGAAATAGTTTTGTAATGTGTACATATATGCATGCATATGCAACCAGCAATTGACATATTTTTATTAATTTTTAAGAATAATGAACTATACTCCAGATATGGCACGAGTCGATGTGGATGAGGCTATCCAGAAAGCTTTAGAAGTGTGGAGCAAAGTTACTCCGCTGAAATTCACTAAGCGTTCCAAGGGGATTGCAGACATCATGATTGCCTTCAGGACTCGAGGTAAGGTTTTCGACAGAGAAGCGCAACTATTTCCATGTCGGGAGATTTGAGGAAGCTGATGATCTTTTTTCCTCTCGTGAATTACATCTCAGTCCACGGTTGGTGTCCTCGCTACTTTGATGGCCCCTTGGGAGTTCTTGGCCATGCCTTTCCTCCTGGTCCTGGTCTGGGGGGTGACACTCACTTCGACGAGGACGAAAACTGGACCAAGGATACAGCAGGTGAGTCTAATTTTCTTTATGAACAAAACATTGTTATTCTAAAGAATCCCTGAAAAGGATAGCTTTGCCATTAGTGGCTTTTTACCTCTAAACTTCCCAATGTCTCCACGATTTTCCATATTCCAAGAGGACATTGTTGGAAGTGTTCGATATTATCAGACACAACACTCATAAAGTTGCTAACCCTATTATGATCACAGCATTCTTCATTGATTTATACTTTCATTCATTTATCCACAATGCCTGAGGGTTCACTATATGCCTGGAACTAAGCAAGCGGGTGTACAGACCCCAAAGTTGTACTAGAAAAGTCTCAGTTCTTCAGAGGTCCATGATCCTGTGTGATGCATGGGGTCTAGCCCACATACCTGCCACGCGAGGCAGCAAGTGTTTTCTCTTGTATCAATGACAGAAGTCATCTGCTGCTTCAGGATTGAAAGAAGATTCTAAGGAGGGGTAATTCCGAGTTAGGGATCAAGGGATAGTGTGTGGGTCTACGGCTAATTGAGGGTCTTTTGGAAAGCATGAATTTCCCCTTCTAACCCTTGCCTATCCACAAAGGATTAGACTCTTATATTTGATCTATTCCTTCAAATCAAGTAGTTTGATTTCATTTCTCATAATGGGCCTGCCTGGCACGAGAAGGGTCTTAATACTTTTCCAACAACAACAAAAAAACTTTACCGCAGTAACAGGTAACCGTGTACGCAGTCAAGAAGCATTCTCAGGTCTAGATTCTCAGATCCTTCCCATTCTCTTTTTTTTTCATTGGCAATAGTTATCTTGGGCCTATTAGCATCCAGGGTCCTGGGAAAGCACACATCAGCCCTCCTAATGTGAAGCATACAGGCTACAGGTCATTCCGACCATGGAACATCCAGGTCCAGCCACGCTTTGATTTCATATCTAGAGGCAGAGATCAGAGATTCCATGATCCTTTTATCCCTTAAATCCAATATTTAATAGTAAGTACTATTACCTATACTTTTTCAAATCCTCTTCCAAGGGGGCAGTGAGGGGCAGATTATTGAAAAGTCTAAAGCTTCTAGGTCCCAAGTTGTCAGGGCTTGCTGAGCAAGGGAGGAAACAGACACAGCACTCAACCAAGTTCCGGGTGGACAACCAAGCAGCAGCTCCAAAAATGGTTGCCTTTTGACACTTTGCTGCATTCCGTCAGGGCAGAAATCGCAGGCCCTTGGTGGCAGTCAATCATTTAATCGTTTGTTCCTTTAACTGGCGTTAAAGGAAAAATGTCTTCCTGCTCTCTAATAAAAACATAGGACCGAAGCAAAGGTAATCCACAATCAAATTGTGACTTTTATTAGGAAGTTTGCCAAGAACATCCATGATGGCCTCTTTCACTGCAATGAATGTACAGGCTCTGTTCTGTGGAAAGGGCACAAAAGACTCAGTGTAACTTGCTTAAGAGCAGCAGGCAACAGTCATCTGCTAACGGGGGGATTCGTGTGTTACCCGAGGGAAAAACTAGTCACAGGCATGGGGATGTCAGAGGGGCTTAAGCACATGCAGAGACTGTCTCAAGAGTCTCGCAAAGCAAGCCAGTGCCAAGCTTATTGTGAATTGCATGTGGGGCACACACATGTCACTAAACAATGGAACAGCCCGCTGGAGAGGCACGGCACAGGGACACAGAAAGGCAGTGGTTTGGCAGGGGAAGACCTTGATGACTCTCCTATTTCCCAGCTGAAGGACACTGGGCAAGTCAAGTAATGTTCTTCCTCTGTTTCTTTGTCTGTAAAATAAGAAGAATAATGCTTTTCTTGCAGGGGAGGTGAAAAAGTTACCCTTGCCCTAAATAAGTTACCAAAGGTGAAAACAACTTACAAAGCACTTTCCCACTGTAAGCATCCAGAAAGTACTTGACTTGAATGATTATGTTGGCAAATATTAGTACTGATGGTGACAATGGTAGTGATGATGATTAGGGTGGGATTATATTCCAGACACAAGAAAAAATACAAATGTATGAGTGTATAGTGCACAAATTTATCTATTTAATCACATCTCCATGAGGCAAAGATGTTGCCATCTTTTTCCTAGTGTCCCATGGCCTATCACAGTGTTGGCAGATGATAAACGCTCTCAAAGTATTTGATAAATGAAGTCATCCGACCACCATTGATTGAACATCCACTATGACCTAGGTTCTATGGCAGAAATGGAATATTCCATAGTATGCAAGACACAGATGCATACTATGCACACAGATGCATACTATGCAGTATGCATACAGATGCACACCCTCCAGGGCTCTACAGTCCAGGGGCACACAGACAATTAAAACCAGTATGATACATACTGCAATAAAGGAAACTATGGCGACGTGATAGGAGCATATAGAAGCAATTCCAACCCAGACCCAGAGGTCAGTGGAGGAAGTGATGATAAATCTGAGGGTGAAAGGCCCAGCTGGAACTGAGGAGTGAAAGTGGGGTGAAGAGGGTGAGTGAGGGGGTTCTGGACAGAACGACCCAATACAACTCAAGCATTAGGAATTGTGGTGGACAAGAAGGCTAAGTGGAGACTAGAGTTCAGAGTGTAGAGAGTCTTGAAGGCCAGGATAAAGGTTTGGACTTCATGTAGAATTATTTTTCAAAGAGTTATTTTTTTAATTCCTTGTCCAGAAGTACACGATATATAGCCAGCCAGGCAAGGGGTAGCAGCAAAGGTCAGGGCAGAAAAGCATCAAAACCACAAAAGAATCCTCTGCCATTTTATGTTTGCTTTGTGCAACCATCACAAGATTCCATCAGAAAAGGCTCGGCCTTCCCCTAGCCCCATAGACTCTGTCGCAAATCCAAGGGCAGTTTTTTATATTCAGAACCTGGCAGACTAGTGGGAGAGAAACACAAAGAAAAAGGTAATTCCAATATGCCTGGTAAGACTTCTGAAAGTCAGGCGTGGTGGCTCACGCCTGTCATCTCAGCACTTTGGGAGGTGGAGGCGAAAGAATTGCCTGAGTCCAGGGGTTCAAGACCAGCCTGGGCAACATGGTGAGACCTCATCTCTACAATAAACAAAAAAATTAGCCCGGCATGATGGCACGTGTGTGTAGTTCCAGCTACTTGGAAGGTTGAGACAGAAGTCTCGCCTGAGCCCAGCAGGTTGAGGCTGTGGTGACCGTGAGCATGCCACTGTGCTCCAGCTTGGGCGACAGAGTGTGACTCCAACTCAGAAGATAAAAGACTTTTTCAGTGGGTATGATTGTCATGTACAGGAGGCACGTCTCATGTTTTCTTTTCATTCAAGTAAACACCTGGACTTCCAGTAATCACTATGTTTTTAATTTTCAATTTTAAAGATGTGGGGTACAATTCAAGGTTAAGTACGCAGATGTTCATTATGCAGGAACCCTTGTTGATGAGGTGTGTTCCCTCTCCCCCAGCAGAATCCCACTACTGTCAATCCCACCCGCCACCCCGAGCAATTTCCCACTACTGACAATCCCTTTCTTATAGTATTACGATAATCGTTCAAGGTCCACTTATGAGTGAGAACATGTGATACTCAGTTCTTTGTTTCTGCGATAGATCACTCAGTATTATAGACTCTAAGTCCATCCAGGTTGCTGTGAAATTCATAATTTTGTCCTTCTTTATGGCTGCATACTATTCCATTGTGTATATGTACCGCATATTTTTAATCCAGTCCTCTTTCGATTTGCAGCACAGTTGGTTCCACGGTTTTGCTATTGTAAATAATGCTGCAGTAAGCACGCATGTGCAGGCATCTTTTTCATAGAGTGATTTGAGTTCCTCTGGGTATATTCTCAGTAGGGGGATGGCAGGGTGTATGGAAGATCGATTTTTAGACCTTTTAGGAATCGCCAAACTATTTTCCACAGAGGCTGTACTAGTTTACACTCCCACCAACAGTGTAGAAGCGTTCCCTTTTCATCGCGTCCTCTCCAGCATCTGCTGTTTTTTGAGTTATTGGTGATAGTCATCCTGACTGGAGTTAGGTGGGATCTCAGTGTGGTTTTAATTTGCATTTCTTTGATGACTAGTGAGGTGAGGCTGAGCATTTTTTCATGTATCTGTTGGCTGCTCATATGTCTTGTTTTGAGAAGTACCTACTCATATCTTTTGCCCACTCTGTAATGAGGCTGTTTGTTTTTTCTTTTCAGCATGTTTGAGTTCCTTATAGATCCTAGATGTCAGACCTTTGTCAGATACACTGTTGGCAAATATTTTTTCCCAGTCCATGGGCTATCTCGCTGTTCTCTTGATGGTTTCTTTGGCTTTGCAGAACCAGTGATCATTATTAAGTACCCACTGCTGCCAAGCGATTTAGAGTCAGGAATAAAAGATGAATAAGACATGGTCCCTGAACTCAAAGGATGCCCAGCTTGGTGATAGCAAGAGACAATGCAGTTCCTCGTGCACTGTGACAGAACCCAGTGCTGAGCCTGCTGAGTCTACCGAATCCCAGAAAGGTGCATTTAACTCATTCTGGATTAGAGCTGGAGGGACAAGAGAAAATCCACGAAGGAAATGACTTTAGAGGAGGGTTATGCAAAGAGGGAGTGGAAGAGCCAATATTCTGGGCAAATGGTTGGAGGTACAAAGACATAGAGATTAGAAAGAACATGGCACAGATGAGACATGCAAGTGATTTAATATGGCTAGCTCATGGAATATGAAAGTGAAATATGAGACTGGGAAAAGGCAGAACCAGATCGTGGAGGGCTACGGTAAAGCACTTGGACTTCACCCGACAGCCAGTGAAGAATAAAGTAGGAGCAGCATGATCTCATGTTGGATAGACTAGCAACAACCAAAAGCTGATGGCTTCTATTTTTTTATACTATTTATTTCCAAGACACTGGTTTGAAGCCATTTGCTTACTCTGGGTTATATGTGACTAATATCAATCACACCCGTGTACTGTATAACGATGCTTTGGTCAACAATAGACTGCGTCTATGATGGTGGTCCCACAAGATTATGATAGAGCTGAAATCTCCTACCGCCTGGTGACATCATAGTTTAGGGCATTGCTCACATGTCTGCAGTGATGCCGGTGTAAACAAATCGACTGTGCTGCCAGTTGTACAAAAGTACAAAAAGCGTAGCACATACAATTATGTACAGTATGTTAAAAAGTTAACTGTAAACATTACAATGTGTTTGTATTTTAAGTTGTTATTACGAATGAGTCCAAGTTAAAAAAAATTCTGTTTAAGTTGATAAGGGAAAAAGGTTCCACAGTAAGCTGTGGTTAATTTATTATTGAAGAAAATGTTTTGTGTTAACTTAGTGTAGCCTAAGCATACAGTGTTTTTAAAGCATGCAGTGGTGTACAGTGATGACCTTGGCCTTCACACTCACTCACTGCCCACTCACTGACTCACCCAGAGCCACTTCCAGTCCTGTGAGCTCCATTCACGGCAAGTTTCCATTTTATATTTTCTCCTCAATGTTTTACTGAAACTTTCAGATGTTGGATATGTTGAGATACTCAAATACTTGCCATTGTGTTATAATTGCCTATGACATTCAGTACCGTAACATGCTACACAAGCTCGTAGCCTAGATGATTCTCTGAGATTATTTCCTTTCTCATCAAAGGAGGGCTACCCAAGACGCCTCCCAAACCAGACCTCATCATCCAGGGGTGTGGCGGGTTTACGGAAGTACACTCTATGAAGGTCACACAAGCTTGAAATGGCCTAACTATTTCTCAGAAAGAATCCCCATCGCTCGTGATGCATAACTATTGGTTTAGAGATACTTTCTAAAGAAGTCACAGTGCTGCATATATGGTCAGAATGACCTGCTATGTGTCAAGCCTGTTCCTCGTTCCCCGTGGTGATTTTGTCATCTCCGGTGCAACCATTCTCCTTTTAATCAACTCACACCCTCACGCCTTCCCTGTTTTTATTAAGGATTCAATTTGTTTCTTGTGGCTGCTCATGAATTTGGTCATTCGCTGGGCCTCTCTCACTCCCAAGACCCAACAGCCCTGATGTTTCCAAATTACATCTCCCTGGATCCCAGCAAACACCCACTTTCTCGGGATGATATCGAGGGAATCCAATCCATCTACGGTGAGCAAAGTTATCCATCTGCGTATGTGTGCACTAAGGAGGAAGCCTTTTAGAAAGGAAGTTGAGAAAAACCCTTCTTGAAATATGAGCATAAAGCAAATATCCACTTAGGCAAGACCCTTGTGCAGGCGCATTTCCTCACGCCTTCTGAATTCACTGAGATTATTTCCTTTCTCATCAAAGGAGGGCTGCCCAAGACACCTGCCAAGCCCAAGAAACCTGCTCTACCCTACGCCTGTGACCCCGACTTGACTTTCGATGCCATCACCACTTTCCGCACAGAAGTAATGTTCTTTAAAGGCAGGTAAACCCATTCCCCTAACACACCTCAACTTCCTATGAAGACTTTTCTTTTCAAGGGATTTGAGGGTAAGGAGGGAGTCGTGGGACATGAGAATGTGTGCCTTTTACTCTTTATTTTACAACTCCCTACACAGCTCAGATGTTTTACCATGAGCACATATCTCTTAGTTGCTAAATTAATTTTTTAATCTTTTAAAGGAACTTTTAAAATTGCTATGACATACGAAGGTGAAATAGAGTCTACCTGCAGTGATTTCTTGGCCAAAATGATGCACCAATCCGAGTGATGTAGTGATGTGCTGTAACCAACTTATACCTGATTTCAGGAGCCTACTATTAGATTGGAAGGAATTTTGCAAACCAGTTCATGTAACATTGGCAGCTTGAAACTGGCCATGGTTGGAGTATTTATACCCCAGAAATCAGCAAAGGACTAAATCCACCAGGAAAGCCAGTTGCTAAGCATGTACAAAGGGACCCCAAAAACTGTGTATTTATTCATTTAAAAACTGTATTTTTTCTTCCATGTTTAAACTTCAGTCACCTTCAAAGTACTCTTCGTTTGATGCAATACACTTATTGAAACGCTTTTTCCACTGCTCAAATCAGATTATGAACTCATTGATTTTGATGCCCTCTGCCGTTTTGTTTTGTTTTTTCCTCCTCTTCCACATTGGCCAAACGTTGGGGTGAGATTGGGTGAACAGGGAGGGTCATGCTGTTTTTGGTCAAAAACTGCTGAACACTCAATGTGGTGTGGGCAGGTTGTTCATGTAAGTCACCCATCACGAAATGGGCAAACATGTTGAAAGAATCTCCAAAAAAATTCACTGAAGCCAAACACAGCCTCTCACAACTACACTAGTTGGTCCACTGAAGCTGATGAGTTCCTAGAACACTTACTTTGTGGGGGATGCCTGTACTACAAGGGTCCTGCCCTCCAAAAAAATTCCGGTTTTTTGGACCCCACTTGTATAAGCACACCACTGGTCATTTCTTAATGTTGCATCAGTGAAACATTAGCTGTCATGGGAAATCCTTTCTCTCACTGAATAAAAATATTGGACTTAAATTGCAGTGATGGTGTGTTTGTTACGTATACCGTGACCATATTTTCATAGTAAAGTACCAGGACATACATACACCATTTGACAAGGATCTAGGGGTGAAAGGAAAAAATATCTGAACTTGAACTCCTTTCACCCACAACTATATAGCACCATAATGACATGCCATCGCCACCACGTTCTGACCAGCAGAGGCTGAGACGCCGCCTGCCCTGGATGTCAGAGAGGTTGCCTATACGGGGAGAAAAATGGACTGTAAGGACATTTCAAGTCTCATTCATAGACTCAGAATTTTACAGCCTCAAGAAAAATTCTGAGGAACTATTCTGGCATGCCAATGATAACATTTCTTCATTCTAGCCAGCATCAACTTAAAAAAGATCCTCTCAGGAGTGCTCAGTGTTGGTTTAAGATGTTGGATGTTGTTGCTTTGGCCAAAATGAGACCTTTGAGCCCTCAGAATTATGATGATATTTACATGGGTGATTTGCCTCTCTGAGTACCCTAGAGAGTGGACACCAGAGCATGTCCTGACCTTGGGAGTCCCAAGGGTAAAACGGAACTCACAACCACCTAATGTACTGGTGAGAATTGTGCTGATTCTCTAAATTATTTGAGGAGGAAACCAACCAATTAGGTAAAAGGCAAGAGTAAGACTGCCACATTTTCATTGACATAAATATACTGCCTACACGTGTAACGTGTCTTTTGTTTAACACAGTCACCTATGGAGAATCTACTATGATATCACCGATGTTGAGTTTGAACTAATTGCTTCGTTCTGGCCTTCTCTGCCAGCTGGCCTTCAAGCTGCATATGAGAACCCCAAAGACAAGATTCTGGTTTTCAAAGGTAACCATGCCCTCCTGATTTCTCTTCTCCCTGTGTATGCTCCAACGAGCTAGTGGGTATTTTGGTGTGAGGAATAATACGATCTCCATGCATGAGCCCAATAGACATGGCTTCTGCCCTCATCTCAGATTCCTATGATAAACTACCCAGAGATTTTCTGTGGCTGTGAAGATAAACATGGCCCCAGTTGCACAGGGACTATGAGACACCTGTGTGATGAAAAACTAAAAACTCTCTCTTTTTTTTCCCAAATAAAGGCAGAAAAGTCTCTTTTTTATGGTCCCTTTTTACTAGAGTTGCCAGATTTCGCAAATAAAACTAAAAGATTCTATAATTTCAGATTAGCAACAAATAACTTGTTGGTATATGCAAGCCCTTTGTAATATTTAATATTCATTTATACCAAAAGTTGCTCACTGTTTATTTGGAATTTAAATTTAACTGGTATTTTATATATAATCCAGCAACCCTAATTTTTGTAAGGATTTCATCAGATTACTAGCCTTGAGAGTAATTGAGTGCTGAAATTTAGAAGAATATATCAAACATACTTGATTGGGTTTTTTCTATTTTAATTGACACATAATAATTGTACAGATTTACAGGGTACAATATGATTTTTTTTTTTGAGTCAGGGTCTTACTCTGTCTCCCAGACTGGAGCATGGTGGTGTGATCACGATTCACCACAGCCTCGACCTCCTGGGCTCAGGCAATCCTTCCGCCTCAGCCTCCCAAATAGCTGGGACTTTGGGTACATGCCACCACAACTTCCCTAATTTTTTTTTATTTTTTGCAGAGATGAGACCTTGCTATGTTTCTTAGGCCAGTCTCTAACTCCTAGCCTCGAGCAATCCTCCTGCCTTGTTCTCTCAAAGTGCTGGGATTATGGGTGTGAGTCGCTGGGCCCGGGTAATATTGATGTTTTGACAGTTAGCCAATTAAAAACAATCGATACAGTGAAACTAATTGACAAGGGTATTACATTATTGACTATGGGTATACATTATTAGTGTAACATTGATGATAAGAGCAGCTAAGAAAAGTGGTTAAGAACACATAGAGGCATAAAATCACTAAATTGCCAAGCACTGAAGTTAAGAGGACCTAGGCATCTAATGATTTTCAAACTTCTTAAGGCATCTATTTCTCCCTCTAGGAGATAGATCAAATGATAATCACTTTCTCTCTTCCTAGATGAAAACTTCTGGATGATCAGAGGATACGCCGTCTTGCCAGATTATCCCAAATCCATCCATACACTTGGCTTTCCAAGACACGTGAAGAAAATTGACGCAGCAGTCTGTGACCAAAATACAAGAAAAACCTATTTCTTTGTGGGCATTTGGTGCTGGAGGTAAGTTTACAGACAATTGACCCTGTGTTTTATTATGGAGAAAATATTCACAATAGCATCACTTTGACATAGATAAAAATAAAATAAAATGAATCTAGAGTCTTCTTAAAGAGAATTATTGTGAAGACAATCTCTAGTGGGTGACATTCACCAGATCAAAAAGTGTTTTGGTGCGCCTAATGACTTTTCCTTAGAAAATAAAATAAAAACAAAATAAAATAATAAATCTGGTGTTGCCAACCAAATCCAACGACACAAACACATCTTGTCAGAATTTGTGAGAGCTCCAAGCTCAGTGTGATTTTACAATTCCTCAGAACAGCATTGGTCTGACAAATGATGTGGTCTTTTTCCCTGATCATCTCTCGTTTGCAAGATAAACGATTCAACCAAGCAAAATCTTCACCATATTTTTATTATTGATCTAATCTGTCTTCATCTACTAGGTCTAATTATCACCCACATTCCTATTTGACTCTAGACTGGACTGTAGACAAATTAAGCTCCTCAGGCCAAAGACCCACCAGAAATCTATTAAACCCTTGTATGCAGGTATGACGAGATGACCCAAACCATGGACAAGGGGTATCCTCAGAGGGTGGTAAGACACTTTCCAGGACTCAGCCTCCGTGTTGATGCTGCTTTCCAGTACAAAGGTAAGCATCAATGCCTAAACAACTGGGATACTTGGGAGATGCATTGACTGGGAAAGAAGCCAACACAAAACTTAAGTGCTTTGACTTTAATGTAATTATACTACTCTTAAGTATAGAAAATAATAAGCATTAACCCTGCAGGCATTATCACAAATTGAATCAATAATTTCTGCACTGCACTCTCTGTTTATTATACTATTTCAACTCTATGTAAAAAGTACCAAAATTAGTTTTAGTCATCACTATGCAAAACACCCCCTGAAGTGTGAAAACAATGAAGTGCAAGAACTGAACAATGATTCTCAAACTTTGGTGTGTGTAGTTTATAGCTTGAGTTTTGTGTGGGAAACAAATTTCAAAGTGTCTAAGGCAGTAAGATGGTGGGCAAGATCCAGAAATCTGTAGTTTTAAAAGAATCTCAGGCAATTTAATGCTCACAGTCCATACTACATCTTCAAAGGCAATGACCTAGACCATGGAGTAATCAGAAGCCTTAAAAATGATTTTTAGTGGCACCGTCTATTATTACAATGAGATCGAACTCAGAACCCCAAAACCTAAAACAGATAAAGCTAGAACAGCTGTAAGAAAATGAGAGCGTAAGGCCCAAGGCCATACCCACAGGACCTTCTCTTCCCTCTATCTGAAACATTTCGTTCAAATCTAGTTTGGGAAACTCTAACATAGACCACATAGACCACAGACCATAGCCCATTTCAAAGGCCAGAGAAGGAATAAGTCCCTTGAAATGCATACTTCATAACTTTGACTTGCTTCTCAGGAAAATATAAATATAAGATTTTCCTTATGATAGTAGAAAACTAAGTTTCTACTTATCTATTTGTATCGACATAATTCCACAAGTTTCTTTGCTCTCCATAATGTTATTTTATATTTTGTAAATTTAAAAAGTATGGAAGTATTATAGGGTTATACAAGATAACTAACACGGTTCTCTGTCTCTAGGATTCTTCTATTTCTTTCGTGGATCGAGACAATTTGAATATGATATTAAGGCAAAGAACATTACCCGAATTATGAGAACCAATACTTGGTTTCAATGTAAAGAACCATTAAACGCGTCATTTGGTTTTGATTTCAATGAGGATAAAGCACATTCAGGAGGAGTAGAGATACTGTATCATAAGAGTTTAAGCTTGTTTATTTTCAGTATTGTTTACTTGCTGAAAAACACTTATAGTTATCAATAAATTCATAGATCTAAAATAAACCTCAAGAGGTCTTTTCATCTAAACTCTGCTTCAAAGTAGAATAGAACCATTCTTTTGGCATCAAGTTGCTAGCCCTAGTTCTAAATATCTATTGGGTAAAGATTCAACAGTCATTCTGAGCAGCTGAATTCTTTTAACAGGAAGTTATTCTACATAAACAAAACCTCTGACTGTACTTTAAGCCTATTTCATGCTTTGTGGACTTGAGCAAGTAAGACATGTCTTATAACTAAATGCTTAGACCACGTATTAAACCAATCTTTAGCATTATACTTTGTCTGGACCTTTGGCATTTAAGAGTCCCCAATAAAGTCTATTTCTTATCTCTATGCATGTTCTGAACCCACCCATTAAATAAATTATTCCACTTACCAAAGAGAAGGATGAGAGCCTGGATAGATACAAGGTGTGTTACATCAGAGGTGATCCCCCAACAAGCAAGGAACGATCAGAAGCAAGAGAGAAGTGTTATCCCTGGCCTCCCAGACATTGACCAAGGCATTTAACCATTCCTTGGAGAGTAAGTTTGGGGCACATTAATCTCATAGGCAAGAAACACGGGGATTTCCTTCCTGTGTCTGAGAATCATGGCTGTCTCTTGCGCCCATGGGTAAGCAGTTGCTATACTCTGTAGTCCATCGTGGATTTGAGTTTCTAAATTTTTATGGTTAAGTTTTGTCTTTACACCAGCAAAACTAAATGCTTAGCAAAGTTCTTAATATATTTTCTTATCCAGAAAAAGGGAAATGTTCAGTTGAGCTTGATGCTAATAATGTGATATGTTGAGTATATGTCAATTGATAGAAAATAAACATTGAAAAAACTCACAGATTTCTATAACTGGTCAGTGTTCCCAGATTCCTAAAAGAAAGGGGTATATAAAAGAGTCACTGCATATTTGAAACAGAAAGTAAAACTTAAGAAATAGATCTGAATACTTAATAAATAGCAGATAGTAGTCTTTGCCAAAAAAACTATCAGTTGGTGAGTGAACAAACCATGGTACTTCCACACAGTGGAATACTACTCAGCAATAAATAGGAACAAATGACTGATGCATGCAAAACAGTGACGAATCCCAAAAGAAATATGGCGCGTGAAAGAAACAAGACACAAAAGACTACATAGTACACGATTCCATTCATAGGAAAAATTTTAAAAGGCAGAACCACAAAAAGAGAGAGATCACTGGCTGCCAGGGCAGGAAGTAGAGGAAAAGGTTGACCACAGAGGAACATGAGTGAAATTTCTGGGGTGATGCAAATGTTCTGTATCATAACTATTGTAGTGCTGACACTACGTGTGTGTGTGTGTGTGTGTGTGTGTGTGTGTGTGTGTGTGTGTGTGAGTGTATACATACACACATATTTTCAGGCTGTACTCATATCCATGAATTTTATTATACATTAATTCTCCCTCAAAGTAGTACTCCCTTTAAGAGTAGTGTGACTCAGTAGTTAACACGTAGTACATTCTCAAAGGTTGGCCAAGCTTGTTTTGCTTCCTCGTACCTACTCTCAGTTCTGTGGCATAAATGCCTGTGATATTATAGTTTGCAGAACATCTGAAATTCCACTCAGATGTACTTATGAGATGAGAAGTTACTTTCTCCTCAATTTGAAAAAAAAAAATTGGTCCATAGGAGAGGATAAGATGCAACTATAAAAACAATCCTATTTTAAATTCAATGGAAAATCTGAAAACACAGTTTTCCAAGGTGTATATGTTGAACATTAGAACTACATTAAAGATTTATAAGCATGACTCAAAGGTCAAGTGATATCATTCATCCTTTGAGATTTAAATAAACTTGACTTCAAAAGTTTTATGGGGATTCTAATGCCCTCCGCCACACAATTAGGGGGCAAAAAATCTTATGCCCTTTGGCAAACCCACCTCCAAAATCATCTCCTTGTGGCTTCTCCACACATTCCAGCCTCCTGCTCTTCTGTCTGACCCCCTCCCTTCTCTGACCTCTACGGGGAACCCAAGCTCTTGTTTAATTATTTTTTAAATGTAAAACAGTTACACTATACCTTTGTTTTATTGTCTCTTTTAAACATGTCATGAGGGTCTTTCATTCCTTGGAAAAGCAGTGTATCAAGGTATCATTTCTCCTAGATAAGAACCCCAAGATAAGATATTTTGCTTTCCATTTGGTAACTTGGAGGCTAAGTAAGAGTACAAGCTCTTAAGACAGCCTTGTTAGGCTTGTGGACCAGTTCTTCTACGTAGTAGCTGTGGAAACTTGGATCAGTTAATTGCCTCTCTGTGCCTCAGTTTCTCCATTTGGGAAATGGGGATAGTAAGAGATCTAGGTGCATAATGTGCTTCAGAGCCTGAAAAACTGGTCACGTATAGCACTTAGAATAGGTACTTGATAGAGTTCATAAGCAGGAACCATCATTACTAAAATTAGGTAAATTAAGCAATTATTCCAAAATACAAATGATTGGAAAGACTAGAAGGTGAGCTCAGACTTTCTCAGAATTGGAATAAAATATGTACCAATCCTCTCTGGGCTATATCATACACTTACCAGAAACAGATTAACTCAACAGCAAACACATGCTTTGTCCCCTCTGGTTTCCTCAAAGGCCTGTGATCGGGTCTCAAAAGAGAGAGCTTTCAAAACAAGCATGGGCAATACTACAGGGGCAATGCTTCTTCATTTTGGAGATCTGAACCGCTGAGACGGAACGGAAATGAATTCACACAGAGAGAATGGATTTGAATGTCTGCTTGCTGGAGGACAAAGAGAAACTCATTGTACATTTTCTATTGTTTATCATGGTAGACTCTCTTCATACACTCACCTGAACACTCGTTTTTCCCAGAAGAATTTGAGATGGTTATTTTGGTCTTGAAGTTGACACACATGACACATCACAGGTTGAAAGTCAGTCCTTAATGTGTCTTCAGGTACGGAGAAGCTTAAAGAGAAAGGTCAGTGGCCGAAACGTTTCTTTAACACATCACACATGTAGTTAATGTTCTTCATTAAATCCTCCGTATCTCAAATCCTAAAAATAATTTCTGTTTTCCTGGTTGACACCTGACTGATGCTTGAGGTAAAGGAATAGAGAGGAAGACAGATGTAGGGTGTTCTGGAATGGCATCCGTCTTCACTGAGAGCTCCTGGTGAAGACCAGAGATCTGAATGTGAAGGAGGTGAGCAAGCAAGCCATGTCTGGGGGAAACAGTGCCCCAGGGAGCGTGCAAAGGCCCTGGGGCAGGAATGTGCTGGGTGGAGGTGAAGGACAGTGAAGAGGCTTCTGGGGCTGAGTAGAAATGTAGGCAGGGGTGCAGTGAAGGGAGTGGAGATAAAGTTGGAGAAGTGTTAAGGAGACAGGTCATGTCTGTCTACAATAAATCAAAAATTAGCCAGGTGTGGTAGCGCGCGCCTGTAGTTCTGGTTACTTGGAATGCTGAGGCAGAAGGATTACCCAGCAGGTCGAGGCTGCGGTGGCCGGGAGCGTGCCACTGCACTCCAGTCTGGGCGACGGAGTGAGACTCCAACTCAAAAAAAAAAGAGAGAGTTCGCAACTTGGAGATTCCTATGGCGGGGACTTACTGGAGATGATGGCAGCAGCAAGTAAGAGATAGAGAAGACAAGATTTGCCAGTGGATCAGATGTGTGATGTGATATCAAGAAGGAGGTCAGGTATGTATAACCCCACTTTTTTATTCTGAACCGGTGGAAGCATGGCGTGCCCACTCACTGAGGTGACAGGGCATGGAGAAGGAACCGCTCTGAGTAGGAACTCAAGATGTCCAGTGGACAACTGGATCTACAGGTCCCAAGTTCAGAGAAGAGCCTGAGCTCAGAGACATGAGATGGGAGCTGTTATACATAGAGACGCAGGATCGGGTTAGGCACCCCCGGTGGTGACCCAGATACAAACAACAAGAAATTGAGAACTGATCCCCAGTCGTTAGCTCGCAAAGTCAAGATCAACTCTGTTGCATGTCTATTTTTTGACCCCCACATCAATTCCATTTATGCACACAGGCTCGTTCTTTCTGCGGGCATCCGTTCTCCGTGCTGCATGTCACTGAGCTCAGGAGTCCACCCTGCAGGACTTACCAGGACTCTTCATCCTTCCGGTGGATTCTGCAAACCAGAGCATGGGCATACCTTGCAGGATAAGGGGTGAGGGCTGGGAAGGCGCTAGCCCCTGACTTCCCAGATTTAAATAAAGTAGAACCGTCAAAAGTACATGAAATCTTCTACGCCAACAATGTCAGCCATAGTTTTTTTTAGTAAATATAGAGGAAGCTCACATATTTTTCATTAAAAAGTATAGAAAAACTTACAAAATAAGAAAACTTTGGTCCTGCCATCTTGAGAAGTGACCTGTTGTCTACAACGTAGGTAACTGTCTGCCTGGCCTCCTGCTCATCGGTCTATAAGCTGAGTTCTGGCCTCGCGGGCTACCAAGATTACTTTAATGAACAATATAAATATGATTGACATTTTGTTCTTTTTCTGTAAGAATGGAACTTGCCTTAAGCAACAACAACAGAAAAAGCAATTCGAAAATTTTACATTCGTGGAAATGTTTCTTAAAAGTCACTTGACCATTGCATTCAAATGAGGACAACATTTGCTTTCTAGACTTAACTCGCTGTGGCAAGAACAACACATTATCAGAATAGAGGGTCCTCTCTGCGACACATACTTAGGTGGAAAATGCATTCCTATATTTTAAGCCCTTATCTTCACTGTTAAAGATCAACTTTGTGGTCTATTTAGTTTGTCTCTAAGTTCGTTCTACAATCATTGTCATAATAATGACCATTTACTGAACACTCACAGCATGTTCTAGTTACCTTGAGTTATCTCATTTATCTACAGAACAATCCTATAAGGGTGGGTATTGTGATTGCCATTTTACAAATGAAGAAATCATGCTTAGAGAGATGATTTTTCTTCCTAAGTTCACGCAATGAATGCTAGGATCTAAATTCTGCCTTACATATTTACATTTCCATCTTCTCATGGAAGATGAACGTCCTAAAACTTTGTGATGCCCCGTACTCACCACCGCCACC